AACTACGGCTACATGTGTAAGCAATACTGACTGCCTCAGTTGCACCTCAGCACTGACACATATGTCCCAGATGGATGTTACATTATGTGTTTGTAAAATAGGCATTTTCCAGTGATTTCTGAAAGTAGAACTGGATGTGCTGATGTAGCTTGCTCCAGAAAGAACACTGTGTGTCCTATACCCACTGCAATGAGAAGAATTCCAAAGTGCCATGCAAAATGTCACCTTATCTCACTTAAAGTTATTTCATCTAGTAATATCAGAGAAATTACAACAATATGTTGTTCTACATTAAAGTACATGACAGCGTTATCTGTGAGACCTGGCAGCTGCCACTTTTGCCCGAGCAGATGGCAGTGATAAAAACACAATGCAGGGAACAGGTTGTTAAAGACATATCCGTCGTTACACTGTCACTGCACAATTACACTCAGCTCCAAGATACCATCAAATGCATGGCTGTGTCACTCTCAAGCAGGAAGATCTTGCTTATGTGAGGAAAATGATGTATAACAATTAATTCTGTACATATTATTAATCAGATTCATTCATCTCCTGTTCAGAGGAGCAGAAAAAGCAGCCAGGATCCAAAGTCTTTAAAGTCTTATGTGTTTGCACTTCTGCTCTTGTAGAAGGGAGACAACCATTCATCCCCTGTAAAGGAAAATCAGAGCCAGGCATTGCTTTCATAGCAGTCGTCAATTTATATTCCCATTTAAGGGCCAGAGGGCATGTTAGCTCCCATTTTCACTTTTCTAGCTTTTTTTTGCAGGGTGGGGTGGTGGGGCATAGGGGAGATATTAAATGAGTATATTGCTCATGGAACGTACCAGCCAACCACTCCTGGAAGCAGAAACAGGCTAAGGCACAGGAGGCAGGGCAGCAGCAGTACCAGCCTGTCCCCACTCCATCCCTGCCCGTGGCCACTGCCAACACTGACAGGCACTTCTCTGTGCTGCAATGACCAGGGAAGGCATACACCCAGGCATTCAGAGAGCCCAGGAAACAAGGAAACAGACCACCTCCCCTGCTCCAGAAGCACAGAATGGTTCAGGTTGGAAGGGACCACAAGTGGATCCTCTGGTCCAACCTCCCTGCTCAAGCAAGGTCATCCTAGAGCACATGGCACAGGATTGTGTCCAAACAGTTCTGGAATATCTCTAGTGAGGGACACTCCACACCCTCTCTGTGCAGCCTGTTCAGTGCATGGTCACTGCGCAGGAAAGAAGTTCTTCCTAATGTTCAGGTGGGACTCCCTGTGCATCAGTTTGTGCCCACTGCCTCTTGTCCTATTGTTGGGCACCACTGAGAAGAGCCTGACTCCATCTTCTTGGCATCCTCCCTCTAGGGAGCGTGTTAATTCCAAAGTGCCAGGCTGCCAAAAGGGACAAGGCATTCCTGAAGAGCTGAGCAGCATCCTGAAGCCCTGAGGAGAAAGAATACCTTCAGTGTTACTGCTGTGCTCCTGCAGTGAGTGTCCAAGAAATGACTCAGTGTAAGTACAGACCTTATAAGGGTAGCAGGGAGGACCTGGTCACAGCACGCCTGGGACGTGAGACAATCTATCAGAGGCCACTGAAGAAGCCCCCAGAGCTGCTGTGCCTGTGCACTGCAGACACTGAACGAGCAAGCAGAGATGCTGGAACCAGCCCCAGGGTGCTCGGGATTGCTGGACGTGATGTGGCACTGGAGACAGTTTCATCTTCAATAAAAACTCCAGACAAGGCGACCCATCTGGCACAATTTTGCCCATAAGCAGCGCAAGCAATTTACACATCCGGACTTGGGTTTATATATTTGGGGCATCTGCTTAGTTTTTATTACTCCTGGCCTCAGCTCTCACATTCCTTCACAGATCAAATAACTGCTTTCCCTATTTGCTAATTCCAGCAGCTGGTTATTGCTCACCAGACTCCTGCTATACTCGCCTGGGGAAGAATCATAAATAAATGTGTACGAGCAAGCAGATGCTGTCATTTTAAAAACTGATCCACCTAGTAAAAACATTCTACTTTGGACTCAATTGGTGAATCACTGAGCATGTGTCTTGATGTCATTTTAATAAAATCCAAAACCAATCAAAGGACTTTGTTCATTCATTCCAATTAGTAAGTGAGGAAAGAGTGCTATAAAGGAGAATATTGCTACAAATAAGAAATTAAATTCTGAACAGGCCAAACACCTATTCCTTCCAATGAAGACAAAGGCAAGATAAGACACAGAGCATTTTTTTTAAATATCTGGTAAAACGAATCACTTTTCCACCACTGGCAGACAAGGTAACATCAACTGTGGGTCCTGGAATCTATGACTGTAAACAGAAGAGAGAAATACAGATGGTTTATCAGACTTTATTATCTCCCTTAATTGTGTGCCTGTTTGTTTGGGTTTTTTTTTAATGGGTAATTTCTTTCTGCATGTAAGTGCTAGGAGAAAGTGAGCTGCCTGGAGCATATTTAAAAAATAGACAGAATATAAGAGAGAAGAAAAAGTGCTCTACTGACTAAAACCCGGGAAGCAGCAGAGAAAACCTTGGTACCAACTTTTCTTCTGTGTTTTAAAAGGGACATCTTTCTGCAAGGTAAGGCAATTTGGCTTACAAAAATCTTAAAAAAAATTACTTTTGATGAAAATAGCACAAGCTTCAGTGATGGTGGCATAATCCACAGAACTCTTTTATGTCAATTCCTGCAGGTTAGACAGATGACAATAATCTTTGTTCCTTGGCAGCAGGAATTAAATTCTCTCTTGTTGACTTAAAATGGAAATGTCTAGCACTGAAATCGTCCACTTTGTTGGTCAGACAGCTGACACAAAATCTCTGCAATAGTTTACAGGTATTTCAAAACTAGCACATATTACTGTGAGGTTAACTGCTCTGAGAGCAAAACTTCCCAATTCAGCATTTGCAAATCTGTTGGGTTTTTTCCCAGTAATTTCAACCAAGTTGCTACAATGCAGCATGATATCATGAGCTTTTAGAGATTTTCCTCCTAAAGGCCAAACACAATACAAGACTCAATACACACCATAAGACCAGTCTTCATTAACTCAGAAGATATACAGCCCTTTCAAGACTATTGATGCTGTGTCAACATTCAAACCATTTGTGCTGGTTTAAAAGTTAACCAGCAAGGCAAAATGAACTCAATTCAAAAGAGAGATTTATAAGTCAGAATAACAATTTATTAAAATAATGCAATAAGTACAATTATACAGACAGACAATTGGTTTTAACCCACAAAACCCAAATGTACAAACCCAGGACCCTGGGGTATGAACAAAAGTGGTGTACCTTGGCCCACCCCCCCGAGTCCAAAGCAAAGGGAGACGGGATAAACCTGCTGGTGGGAGAGCTGCTGCAGTCTGGTCAGAAGTGGTGATTGCAGTCCAGTTGAGGGTGGTGGTCTCAGCCTGGTTGGGAGCAGCGGTGGTCTGCTGTCTTCCTCTGGGTCCCACGAGAGAGAGAGCCCCAAGGCTCTGAAACTCCCAGTTATATACTCTCCAGTTCAGGCGGGAGTGCTCAGTCCCTCCCTCAGAGTAGGGAATTCCATAAAAGGGCATGCGGATGCTCAGTCCCTCTTATCAGAGCGGGGAATTCCATATAAGGATATCAGAGCGGGGAATTCCATAAAAGGGTACAGGAACATCTTCCCACCTTGCAGGCCTCTACTGACAGCAGTTTTTGGGAAATGGCATGGAGGCTATAGAATACACAGTTTTGGGTTACACCCATCCAGGGATGAATTGGTCCCAGCCGTTCTAACCAGGACACCATTGTACCAAAATCTGACTGACTAGAAATAATCGTCTTCCAGTGTATGCTCAAAGAGAAACACTAAGCCTCCCTGAATACCCAAAACCTAAAATCTACTCCCATTTGGTTCTTCACCTACAGTAAAACTGATAAAGCTCATAGTGGCCTCAATGCCTCACCACTGTACTGGAGATTACATGTTCAGAACTTGGTGTTATTTTAAATACCAGAAAGAAAATCCTAATCTTCAAAGCACAAATTGTGAAAATATAACTAACATTTAAACTAGGAAAATTATTATTTGATGAGAATTGTATCAACCAACTTAAATATAAATAAAAGTTAATATAAATTGCAATAGAAACTGGACAGTCCACGAGCACAAGACTAGAACACTTGCTAGCATCATAAGTTACAAATACTGAACACAGGGTCTAACAAATTCTCCTTGCCAGTTAAATACTTTCTCCTGCAGTAGCATATATTAACATTTAGGAGTCAAGGAGGAGAAAATTCTGAATGAAGGTGCTAAAATCACACTGTCACAGGAGGAATTTATGGTGCCAAGAGAAAGGCAGTCAGAAGACAGGGAATAGATGGGTCAGCATGATAAGCAATGCACAAGTCTGAAGTGTGAGAGCAGAAGTGATCTTTCCGAGGGAACACCTGGGGAGAGCCACCAGCAGCAGCAGCAGGAGGACTCACACCATTTTTAATTTTTTTTTTTTTTGAAAGCACTAGTGACTAAGCATGGACAAAGAAGAGCGAGAGTCTCAGTACAAAAAGTGATGATTTTAACTTTCTCTGTAAATGTAGGATTTTGCATCAGGTCTGAAGATTTCAAGCCTGGCCAAGTAACACTTTTTCATGAGCTACAAATTCCTCATTTGTTGTTATGATGTTTTAGACTTTGGTTCACCATGTTAAGACATTCCTCAGTTGCTGAATTTTAAGTAAAATACTTTTTGTTTTTGCAGTCAAGTAGAACATGTTCAGGGCACATTACCAAAGCAAGCTGTGGCTGAAGGATGCCGTGCCCAGTGCGTTAGAAGGCTGAGGTGCACACTCCGTGCAGAAAGCACATTAACACCGAGCGGCTGAGCCGGTGAGGGGCCGCGGGCTCGGGGCCGCGCCGGGCTCGCTCGGGCTCCTCGAGCACACCCGGGGGCCCGAGCGGGGACGTTTCTTTCCAGCACAAAAGGCCAGCAGGGAACAGCGCATCTCCCCGTCCTCCGGCACTCACCCCCTGCTTCCAGAGCGCAGGCAGCCACCTCCTCACCAGAGAACGGGACCCTCCCCGAGTCTGTGCGCTCCCCTTTACTGCGAACGGCGACGTCGATCCCAGTCACTAAATTCCAGCGGGCTCGCTGGTCAAGGGCGCGAGTGACACTGCCGAGACCGAGCTTTGGCGGTACGAGAGAGAACGCGCGGCCGGCCCAGCAGGGCGGGGAGCTGGGACCGCCGCTCCACCCCGCCCGGCCCGGCCCGGCCCCGCCGCCCGTGAGGGCAACGCTGTTCCCGCGCCCGGCCCGGCAGCGCCGCCCCGCGGCGGCAGCGCAGGCGCGGCCATGGCGGCGGCCGGCGGCGCTGAGGGCGCGGATGGCGCTGAGGGCGCGGATGGAGGCCCCGCGCTGTGGGCCGAGGTGCGGGCGCTGCTGCCTCGCGCCGAGGAGGGGCTGACCTTGGCACTGAGCGGGGAGGTGGAGGGCTGCGTCCTGCCGCTGCTGCGGCGCGCCCGCGCTCTGCTCTACAGCCCGCCGGGCCCGCCCGGGGCGGCGGCAGCGGCGGCGCTGGCGCGCTTCGGAGACGTCCTGCGCGACTATTCCTGGGAGAAGCTGAACGCGGTGCCGTGGAGGGAGGTCGGCAAGGGCTGGCGGCAGGTCTACGCCTACGGCTGCCTCTTCGGGGCGCTGGCCGAGGTGGCCGCGGGCCGCCCGCGGGCCGCCGTGCGCCTCTGCGACCTGGGGCTGCTGCTCGGCGCCGCCGTCCTGGACAACGTCCTGGCGCGCCTGGTGCGCGCGCTGCAGCCGCGCCTGCCCCGCGGGACCGCGCGGGACCGGCCCCGCGCACAGGTACCGCCCGTGAAACCCCCCTCCTTCCCGGCCTCCCGCCTCCCCGCGGGCCTCTGCCGGCTGCTGAGGGGGAACGTCCTTTCCAGAGGGTCCGGCCCGAGCGGCCCCCGCCGCCCCCCGCGGTGCAGCCGGAGGAGGCGATTCCTCACCTTCACTGCCCTTCGCTGGAGCACTTCAGAGACAACTACCTCATTCCCGAGCGGCCCGTGGTCCTGGAGGGCGTCATGAACCACTGGCCGTGTATGAAGAAGTGGAGGTGAGAAAGAAGTTTCTTCCCTGTTCAAGTAAAGGCACGATCGTTCCCTGTGTTGGGTATCTTGGTGGTCGGTAGAGCAGCAGAGACTTTTGCAGAGGATGGACACTGTGGGCAGTGAGTTTTGCTGGCAGCGCCTTTCTCCTTCTCTGGAAGTTGCTTCACAGATAAGGGAAGCGCTTTTGGAGCGTTCGGAGCATCACGCAGCAAGTGCCAGACTGAGCCAGGGCGAAGGTGCCCCTCCAGCCAGCCCGGGGCTGTCCCGGGAGCCCAGTGGTGAACTGGTGGTGCAGTGTGTTGCTCGGGTGGGAACTCACAAGGAGTGCACATTGCAAAGTGCCAGTGAGCTGCTCACGGCTCAGGGGGTCTGTCATTTTTACCCCTTGGAATGTGCCGATAATTAGTGCAAAGGAAAGTGAATTTCAGAGCCACGTGTCAGCATGATTGACTTTTTCATTGACAAAGGCAAGCACTGATGTTTGCTCAGTGTCATGTTTGCATGTTGAGTTTCAGCCATCACCATGCAGGAGTGAGTAATAGCATCGTGCTGCCTGCCTAATGTAAGCAGCGGTGCATTGAGTATTTGTGAGGCGAAGCTCATGATTTCTTACAAAAGGGGAAAAAGCACTCATGCTTAGTTTGAGCAATTGCTTTTGTTCAACAGCCAGGGGTACAATTGACATTAAGTGAACATACTTGTTATTTTTAGGGGGTTTATTCATTTCTGAGGGAAGGTACTCCACTGGTTAACTTTAGACCCTTAAAAAGATGAACTTCTCCATTTAGTTAATACCATTGTCCATGAAGAGATGTATTCCACCCATCAGAGTAATCCCTCTGGCTGTAACCAGGATGGATATTATTGGCGTCTGTATACGGAATTTGACACTGGCAGAGAGTTGATCTAGTATTAATGATGAAAAGATACAACACTTTATTTAGCAAACATGGCAGCAGGCAGCAAGAAGGTTGGCCATCCCTCACCAAGAGAGACTTAATAGCTTAAATCTCCTCAGCTCCTAAGGAAACCACAGTTAACTGAGGTGAACAAGATTTTAAACCAAAATAAAATAGACAGTTGTGGGATAATGTGCACCCAAACCTGCCTGCTGATTTCCTTGCCGCTTACATCGTTTTCTGCTGCCTTTTGTCTCTGGTTGGTTAGGTTTAGAGAGAAGAAACTTGTAGTAGTAGAATTTTATTACCCTATAAGATTGATTTGGATTGATTGCCTTACATTCAAAAATTAGTAAGAAAAGTAGTATAAAAGGTAATTGAGCTTTCTTTCTTTCAGCGTGGACTATTTTTGTCAGGTCGCAGGGTGCCGCACAGTCCCCGTGGAGTTGGGTGCCCGGTACACAGATGAGGAATGGTCTCAGCAGCTCATGACTGTCAATGACTTCATCAGCCAGTATATCATGGATGAGGTGTGTTACACTCATTTTATTTCATCTCCAAACACAGCAGCATGGTCCTGGTACAGACAACGGTTCTGCTTCCAACAAATATATTCAGAGGTGATGGTCAAGGGAGAGGGTGTGCTGTAAGCACAACTCTGAATTAAAAGGCTTGGCCTGTTTTCAAGATCTGAAGCTAGAAATAGTTATTGAAGCAATTCCTAGGATTGACTTTTACATATCATCACATGTACAGCAGCCGAAATTTGACAAATAAATACATACATTCTACAGCAAAAGCCTGACTGGTGGAGTCTAAATATAAGGGATCCTCAGCCAGCAGGATCAAGATCCAAATTCACATGCCACAAGGCAGAAAAATAAAAAGTCAATTAGCAATTGAAATGTCCTTTTGCTTTCACAGCTGAGAATCCAAAGCTCCTGTTTCTGTTTCCTTACCTTCTGGCAGGTAGTACTGTGTGCCATAGCAAACTGTCTGTGGTGCAGCCCAGAATAGAGCACAGAGGTAGTTCCAAAGAGTGAAGGAGAACTGGTCTGTGTGCCAGTAGCATGTGGCTATGAAGATGCAGCACATTGTCACGGGACTGACAGGAGTGTTGAGACTCCATGGGGTTATAGCTCAGCTTCCTCCAGTAACTGGAGCTAGATGATTTATTGATTATGGAGACACATCTACGCTCTCACAATTTCAGTGGAGATGTAAGTTGCTATTTCAGAAGACCCCTTATACTGCTGAAACAGTTCTGGTACTCTGAATAGGATATTGGAAGTGAATGTTACCTATGAGTAAATTCTATTCACCTGTAAGTAAATTAACTGACTGAGAAGTCGTACACTATATGTCACTATGTGTTTTTTATTTCTCTGCTGTCATTTCAGAACAGTGTAGGATACCTTGCCCAGCACCAGCTTTTTGATCAGGTAAAATTGAGTGAATGTTTTTATCTTCCTACGGTCAAGTGTTCCCTTTGTAGCACAAGTTGGCTCTGAGGATGTCAACTGTACTAGATCAAAGGGTATATGAAGAACTCACAGTAATTATTAAGTTTCTATTCCCATGATTTGAAAGAACAGAGGGAGAGGTTTGTTCCATTTGGCTGAAAAATATGGAAATAAAACCCTCTAGGGATAAAGATATGCAGTCCTAGTGCTGGTTTGGTACACTGTAGCATACAGGGATACATACATACAGGGATAATCACCCAGAAAGCAGCAGTTCCTCAAAGACTGTAATAAAGTCAGGGAAGAGATTTGGACAGAAAATCTGTTCAGTGTTGATCACCATAATCTGAAATGTCATTCCAGTTTACCAGAATTTAGGTTGGTGGGAGACATAAATAGGAATCTCATGGAGAAACAAGCATAATGTATAAGAGATCAGCTGTTTCTTTTCCATGAACCACAAACCTCCCTACTCTTGTGGGTGTCTCTGGTTTCTGCTAAAGCAAAGAGTCTCTGAAGAATGAGAAACCCCTTTCTTTCTCCCACCTCTCCTTCCAACAGAATCTGCTCGCTAGAACAGAAAGTGTGAGGACATTTCCTGCAGATTCTTAGCAGGTCAGCTACTTCTCTCCTGCCCTTGCTGGACAAGCAGGTCATTTGTTTTCTTTGTGTCAAGCCTTGTCTGTCTGTTCTATGAATTACATATATTTGGCAAGTCAGCATGTATCCTTTTTAATGTTTATTTCTTTATGGAAATAGATCCCAGAACTGAAAGAAGATATCAGTATCCCTGACTACTGCTGCCTGGGGGAAGGGGAAGAAGATGACATCACCATTAATGCTTGGTTTGGTCCAGGAGGCACAGTCTCACCTCTTCATCAGGATCCCCAGCAAAATTTTTTAGCCCAGGTATGTACTCTAGTTACTCTACACATGCCATTAATGCAATACTCAGAAAAAATGCTTATGGTATGTAAGTGTTAGAGACAAGGGGAGCAGACAACTTGAGGAATAATTGAAGGATAGAGAACATGCATGTATCTGCCAGTGCTGTGAAAGTTTTTGTAATTTGAACAGCAGGTGATCTGGCAGTTTTCAGCTTTCAATTAAAACTGCGCTGCCTCGTGATGCCATTCAAACTGTGGCTGTGGAGTAGAGGGAGGCACAGGCACAACTAACAAAGTGCAGTGATCCCTGCTGGCTGGGTGGTGGCTGCTGCCGAGATCACAGTGTTTCCAGTAATGAGGAAACCAGTATCTGGAGATGCAGGCTATTGCCCAGTAACTGGTGCCTGCAACCTTATAATATACAAGGCCTTAACCCAGTGAGGCAAGTGAAGAAAGGAGCTGTTAACAGCTGGTGGCAGTCCCAAAAAAAGTTCAGGTATTCAGAAAATGTGCTGTGGGAGCAATAACCAGCATTTTTGTCACTTCCATACATCACCAAAAATGCCATGTAACATTTGGGTCTTTAGAGAGTTAATTAATATCCATAATCCCCTTGGGGTATGGAAGGCATCCTAAAAACACATGTACAGCCAAAGTTATTCAGATCAATACTCCAGTAGTTTAACCAGTGATGAGAAGAGTAGGACAGGGCAGGAGTACGTTGGTACTTGTCCAGCCTGTTGAATATGTTTATGTGCTCTCCTTGAAGTAACAAACTCTGAATATTCAGCATGACAGCTTGGGTGTTGGTAAGATTTCAGGAAATCCTATTCTGTTATGTGGGAAGGGATGTTAAGATAGAGGAAAAGCAGCTTGCTTGGGAATGGTTGAGTAGCATAATACCAGTCCAGGGTACTGTGATTAGAGTACTGACTTAACAGGACAGTTCCAAACAAGCATGATCATGCCTAGCCTTTAAGGAGATCTGGAATGCTGGCACAAGCAGCATGAATCTTCATCCCAAGCCTTCTGTTCCACTGGTATCAGTGCAGGAGTCAGCTTTGACTCAGTCATGCTGCCATGTCTGGGCACCAACAACTTGCAGTTCGTGTGGTGTTCAGGGCAGCCAAGCCAGTCAGCTTACAAATCCTCATTTCAGCACTCTAGTGAAAGAACTGGTTTAATGATGACACAGGAATAAGAGTTTTAGGAGCATATGGAAGCTTGGCAGTCACTGTGCAGGTACCTCTGCCTGATGATATGAACTGCAATGAAGATTCAACCTCTTTATTCTCAGTTCTACTTATTTCTAGCTACATAGAGCCCAAATAACAATGTATAAATGGGGTGCCTTAAACTTTAAATTGAAAGTAATTTGGTTAAAGGCATTTCCTTCCTAAAGGTATTCAAATTCTTATCTGCTCCAAGGAACAGTTACTTATATTTCAATAGCTTGATTTTACTTTTTATTATAGCAGTGTCTATTACTAACAAAGATGATGTTCCTTGTAATTAGGTATATTTACTGTTAAATTCCAGGTGTGGCCCACAGCTTCCAGTAATGTGCCACTTCATGACAAATGGAAAACATTTATTTTCTATATACAGGTATTAGGAAGAAAGTATATCCGTCTGTATTCACCACAAGATTCAGAAAACCTGTACCCACATGAAAGCCAAATTCTTCACAACACTAGTCAGGTAAATAGTTGCCTGAAATTTTAATATCAGTAGTGTTACCATATCAAATCATTTTTGAGTAAAGACATTCTGCTAATGATCATTTGGGTTTTTTTTATAGGTTGATGTGGAAGATCCCGACTTGGTCAAGTTTCCCAATTTCACAAAGGCTGCCTTTCAGTCCTGCATTCTGATGCCTGGACAGATTCTGTTTATTCCAGTTAAATATTGGCACTATGTGCGATCACTTGAGCTCAGCTTCTCTGTCAGTTTCTGGTGGTCATAACTCTGAAGCATCGTCTGCAGCATTGTAATGGGAATTAAAGATCAGCAAAGTAGCATCTAGCAGCATCTTTCATGAGAGGTTAGAGGTGGAGCAAAACCAAAAACCCACAACCTCTTGCTAAAGCATGGAGAAAGAATCAGGACAGGTAAATGGAAAGGTGATGCTGCAGCCACTTCATTTTTGTAGATGTTTCTAATAACTCCTTATGAAGAGCGTGTTAGGTCACTGTCCTGTGTCCCTCAGAAACAGTCTGTGTCTGGGCACTGCCAGGGCTCTGCCTCTGTCTGCAACACCAGGGCATTGTTATCTTCTACTTGGATTTAATAGCACTAAAGCCTGGAGTCACCTAGAGAAATGGTGAAATTTTATAATGTATTTACTCTACATTATAAAATAAAGCTAATACTAATAAAGGAAGGTACTAGTCTCCTGCATGGAAAAAGTTACTTGTGTATCCTGGTTCCAGCTAGGACAGGGTTAATTTTTGCACTAAGGGGGGGGGCAGTAGTGGTTGTGACCACTTGCCTGTGAATCTTTGGTCTCTCGTACACTGTGTTATTAGTATTGTAGCTGTTACTGTTCATTTTCTTGGATTCCATTGCTGTTCCCAGTTTCTTGTTATATCAACCCATGATCTTCACCTTTTGTGCTCCCAGTTCTCTGCAGCCCACCCCAGGGGAGGGAGCAGCTGGTGGTTTGAGGCTGGTGGTTTGGAGTGTTTCGATGAGAACATTAAATTGGGGAGTACCATTCCTAAACCATGACATCTTGTTAAAGCCCAGAACGTAACTGAAGTTAACCCACAGTTTAATTGCCGTTAAATAAACTGAAGCATTATTATACTTTGATTAACCATCAGCTGAACCGATGTCATGGCCTTGCTGAAGTGTCTCTGCCAAGGACAGGAATGCTGCCATTCCAGTCTGGTGTCTGGCAGTAGCCATTCCTTTGTTTTTTTCCAAGTCACTCTTAAAGGAAAAAACATCCTTACATAAAACTGGAGACAGAAGTACTAGGACTAAAAATCTAAAGAATCTCAATATGGTAATTTTTTCAGCACTTTGTAGACATAAGCTGACATTGCCCCAGGTCCTGTCATACTCTTTCCCAATTGTTCTGTGGCAATATTCCCTCCCTTACTGAGCACAGCTGCTCATGACCTGGCCTTATGTCAAGACAAACTGTTGTGCATCTAAAGAAGGGACAAAACTCAAGCCACAGTGCCAGCTGGAAGTGTTCCAACTCCAGCCCTAGGTCAGAGACCTTACACGTGCTGCATGGATTTCTCACCTGCCTGAGGTGCTACAGCAGGTGTCATTGTGTAGCTCAAACTGTACAAATAAGGAACACCTGCTGAGAAAGGCTTCTTTGAAGAGTCCACCTGCATAAATCAGCTTGCAGGACTGACTAAAACATTTGCATCTTTCATCCCCAAAACATGCACTGAAAGTCCCAACCCAAGAATATGGAGAACTACCAACACAAAACAGCCTCCAAGAAAGCTGTGCAGGCATTACTGTGAAGGAGAACAGGAAGGTCAACAATAGTTTTATTATAAGATTCTTAGAACTTCAGAAAATAAGTACACTGGCCACTGTTACTAATGAATACAACACAGTCTGGCTGTTCTGCCAGAGTGAGTGAAAACAGCTGTCACTGACAGCAAGTTCTACTGGCATCACCTAGGGCTGAGAATGGAGCTCTATGGTGACTGGGAGGTCATCCGACTCATACCTGTAAAGAAAATGAAGGTTAATGGATGACACACACAAAAAAAGGATAATATTGTATAGCCTCCTGATTTTTAAAATGCTTTGTATATTCGTGTGTTGCTGTTCACAATGTCCAATTCGCCTAGAAAAATAGGGCGTCCAAAGAGATTCTTAAAAGCTCGGTATTTCCAGAAGTTTTAGTGCCATGGGTTAGTGTGTCCCCTATTCCCTGCCACCTCCCCACCTTAAGGTAGTTATAAACAACATGCAGGGTCTGCTGTGCCCCTGTGGCACAGTCCGGGCACTGTGAGTGTTGCCCGTGTGTGGTTTAATGTCTCCAATGTACAGCTGAAGTCAGAAATAACTGATAGTTACAGTTGTAAATAATGCAGGTACTGCCACTAAACGTCACAGCTCATTTTCTAGTATTATTACATTGTTTTTTTAAAAATAGATTGCTTGGTACCTGGGATGTCACAAGACCAGTATTCATTACACTTCGGACAACGGGGTTCAGTCTGAGCTTTGAAGTACTTTCTGACACAAGGTAAATGCATTCCAATTCCACAGGATTCACATACTTGGCTCTGAAATCCAGGAGTGATGATTAAAAAAAATCTTTCTAACCTGTCCTTCAATTTAAGAGGAAGTTGTTACAAAGGGCAGCAGATCATGCAATGCAGTATTCCAAAGATGGTTCCCACAGTACGGGTGGTAGATACTCAACAGTCAAAGCTGGTAAATAATAAAAGGAGGTACTCTTCTGGAAACTAGGATATAGTATTTCCATATATGGACAAAATATAGCTTGAAAGACAACAATTTCAGTGCAATAAGGGAGACCAATTGGGGAAAAGTAACATGGAATCGTGTTAGTTGGGCAGATCAGAAGATGCAGGCTCAAGAGCAAGATAATGCACCAGCTTTGGAATAGAAATCCAGGCTGTAAACACTTACACAAGACTAAACTGGTAGCATCCCAGTCATCACAACCCAGTGTTCTAGCATGCTCTATATAGCCACATGTTCCTTCTGAGGTCCAAACACAAGTAATTCCTGAGCCAAACCCCAGGAACCCCAAGAATGAACATGTGTCATGTGAAGACTGCTGTTGATAAGGCCCAAAGAGGAGACTTGCTAACACCTCACTGCTAAACCTGTTTCTACAACAGGGGCTCATCTCTAGCCTGCTGGTTTGGAAAGCCAGGCAGCACAACCACGTTTGTCATCGGGTGAGTGCACTTTCCCCAAGCTTATACTTGGAGACACTGCTCCAAGACAATTTTTTACTAAAGACAGAAGATAAAATGCCTACGAAGAAAAATAAGGCGCTTTTTTTTTAATATACATAAGCACCACAACCAGATTACAAGACCAGGATTTTTTAATGCACACCTAATACTCAAAGGGAAGTATCACAAACCTCAGCTATGACCATGTGATAAACAGACATTACCTGGACTGCGAGGCTGCGACAGATGTTACATTTCCTTGCCACGTCCTGGTAGTTGCTGAGAATGTACTGTTCCATTTCAATTATGCAACGAGTATGCAGAGTATATTCTCCATTTTTCTAAGGAAACATATCAAGATGAGGAATTTCTTTTAATTCCTTTGACCTTTTTTGACTTTGCAACCCCCCTGCTAGCAAGCATTTGACAGCCACTTTTTTCTGCCATCATGAAACTAACATGCTGGTACTGGTACAATGCAAAGCTAAAACACTTTTGAAGTAGCAGAACTCCTTTGTTTTGCAGAACAGAATAAAGGTTCCACATCTTTAACTAGTCCTTGAAAAGTACAGAGGAGCAAGCATGCTCTCCTTAACAGAGGCATGCAGTTTTGAGTTTTGGAACCCTCCATTTGCACGTTAGAGAAAATTCTCCCAGCTTTCAACAAAATCTAGGTGTTTACTGCTTGAGATATCTTTGGAAATCTCTGTTAAATCACTTTAACATATGAGTGACTGTGTGGCAGCAGGTTGGAGATCTACGATGCAATGACTCCAGCAGAGAAGGACTGAGGTCTCATTTGGCCAGCAACTGCAGTGTTCACACAGTGAGCCCACCTCAACTGCTCCCTCATGAATTAAAGGAGATGTGACCATGTGCACAGTGGCCCATGCATTCCTGGGGCAGGAGTTTTCAACATGTTTGGCCTCACCACTTTTCAGGAAATTCCAAATGTAACTAACAGCACTGATCACCCTGGAGAGCTTTCCCCAGCTCTCGTTCCTGGTTGAAGGATGTCTGTGTGTGACTGGGCAGGGCAGGACACACAAACCCACCTGGCTCAGGTACAAGAAACTGAAACCATTTAGTCCTGTATAGACCTACCCAAGGACTTTTTCCTTGTAAGTCTACTTCCTTTTCTGCAAAAATCACCAGAGCAGCAATAAGCACAGGCCCCCTAAAACCATTTTTGCCATCATTCATTATAGAATAGCTCCAGTTTCACCCATCATATCCATAAGAACATGGCAGCTGGACCTACTGAAATTCGAACACTTGAAAGCAGTTACCTCAGAGAGCCACTTATCCTCCACAAAAACTTTCAGCACTTGTTCTGCTTCCTTTTTCTTCATTTTCTTTGTCTTAAGTTTGTCAGCCAAGTTTAAAATATCTGTAGATGAGGCAAAGCCATTTTCTGATAAAATTATTAGGTCCATCTACAAAAAGAAACATTACCAAGTATAAAAAACCCTGCAGACATACCTTACAGTAATGTACTGATATGCAGGGTTTTTAGCATCCATACATGTGAGAGATACTACAGAATATGGCTTGAACCAGAACTGTAAAACAAAGGCAAAAAGCTGAAACATTGTCCTCTTGACAGTTTTGATGTTTGCCAAGAAAACATTTCCACAAATAGAAGTGTACATGCTGCCTAAATGAAGCTGCACTCAGAGACCCCTCAGCACACTCAGCAGTGACAGATCTGTTTTCTTTTTATCTGCTCTTTGTCAACTAAGTTTTCCACTCTGGAGTCACTAGTACTTCTGAGCCTACCTGGCACCTGAAGGCTGTACAGTATCACCAATCTTCACAGAACCTCACTGGAAACATTCCTGCTGCTCGTGAGCACAGAGCAGCACACAGAGTCCATGGCAGCAGTGACATGGGCCACCACAACACACCCTCTGCAGTGCTGACCTGGCTGTGTGGGGGAGGGCAGGGAAACCTCTGGGTTCTATCATGGAGATTAGACTTCTGCAGCTGTCACAGAACAGTCAATGCACCTCTCTTTCCAGTTCATACAGAATATGTAATGAGTGTGCAAAAAAAAAGTCTAGTGGCTGGAGAAATTAAGTCCTCAAAGTCCAACACACTGTGAGAACAATTCAGAAAAACATCCAAGATACACAGCTATGATCACAACTCACATTAATGGTTGTTGATAAGAAATTAAATATCAAATGTCCTTGAATCTTGGCCCAATAGTTCTATTTGGAACTTTAAAAAATCTCAAGTGTGTTTTTTCTTGTTTGAAAAGCAGCATTCTGACTAGTTTATTAATACAGAATTAATTGGCTAAGCAGTAACAAATGTCTATATTCAAATCAGAAAAAAATGTTATTAGCATTAAAATCTACTGTATATTACTAAACTACTGAAGCCAGTGAAAAATTCAGCAATCACAACTGAAAATCTTGAAGAAAGGTGTTAGTGTAACTTTAGCATGTGTGTGTTGAGTCCCTAACCCCAAGGAGCACTTCCCTGGTGCTGATTTTGCCTTACCCATAACTGACTTCCAGCAGGGAATCATTAGTTGCACGTACTTCCATCCCTGCCAATCCCATTCAATCTGGGATAAACTTAGGTAAAATGGCAACTAGTTTCTGAACTGCATCTCCATTCATTTCCATTTCCATTCATCTTAAGGTGATACCTTCCCGAATAATGTGATTTACTAAATGATAACTGACATACTTACTGTTTTTCTGAACAACTCTAATTCAATTTCCGTATAGTCAGATGCCATTTTAGTTATTTCAGTTTCTGCCAAATTCACCTAAAAAAAGAAATAAACTGAAATCAAAGTGCCATTGTAGTTTTACACCAGAAACTGTAAAAGGTCCTCTGAGGTAAACAATACATCAACTCACAATTAACAGAAATGTCATTTCTTTAAGGGGCATGAAAGAGGCTGATCCTTGAAGTGCACTTGATGGTACTCCAGTCCTTTATTTACAACCCTTGATCTTCCAGCCACATGTTCTCCAGAGCTGCCTCTGCCCAGGCCAAGCCCTTCAACAACCCAAAGTAACCAAACCCCCCAAAGTAACACAGAGGCTGCAGCAGAGTTGACATGTCAAACCAGGCACAGTGCTGGACAGCAGCACGAACTATGTTATCAGTCACCTTTTTGTTCACTCTGAAAAACAATTGGTGATCTGGAGAAACTTCTTACAGGCCACTCCTCAGCAACCCTTTTGTGCTAGGTTGATTTTTGAGTAGGAGAAAAAGAAAACTAATGTTGGAGGGCTCTGTTTTCTAGTTTAAAAATCTGTCTCAAGAAATAAAGCCTCCTGTGGAAAAGGAATCTCACTTCAGCACTTAAGCAATGTTTATGTTAAATAACTCCAACACTGCTGTGGTCCTTGCTGCCATGTCCTACTCCCACAAACCAGAGCTGTGGCAGTTTATCCTCCCCCTTCCCTGTCCTACCAGCAGTTCCTGCAGCTGCTGCTGGCCCCACACAAACACAGCAGGTACCTACTACAGCATAATGGGCTCTCCCATCCTCTTCTGACATTCCTTTCCGGACCTGCATAAACAAAGGCTGCAGGTGCCTGTTAATAGTGCTGATGAAATCGTCCAGTTTATCGTGTGCATAGTAAACTGAAAATAAATAAGAAAAAACACATACAGAGAAAGTCAAACAACTACACACCAGGCAGATTTTTTTCTGTGAAACATTTTTTCCCAGGTAAAAGCACTAAAACTCCATGAGGCAAATTCAAACAGGGGTGTTCTATTCAGCAGATGCATCATTTTCTTGTGCTGCTGTCTCCTGGCCTTCAGAGACACTCAGCTCCTTGGAAGTCAGTTGAGAGAGAGTTCAGACATTCTGCCTTGCTGAATCCAGTAATTACAGTGACTTGAACAAAGCTGAATTTAAAATAAAACACGACCAGGAAAAATTACTATTCAGAATAGAAAAATACACTGGCTTGCTTTCCTTTATACACGTGATTCCTTGTTTCTGTGTGTTCTGTTTCACAAATTAATGGTAGGTAAGTGATCAAGTTACATATAAAAAAAAATTCTAGTATTGTAGAAACATGGGTAGGATCTTGTGTCGTGTTCTACAAACAAATTAAATACTAGCAGCAGTTCTATCACAGAATAATCAAGATGGCCTTTGGAGTTGTTCTGTGGAGATGCCTGCGATGGCTCTTGCCTGCACAGCACCAGCACAACTCTCAGGTCCATCCAAAACAAGATTTTATCAGTGGCAGAACTCCTGTTGCCTTCATCAGTCTAGGATTTAAAAACCAGGGTTACGAAACAGCTCATAACTTTAGATTCATGTCTCAAAAATACAACCAGTTGTCACTAAATTATCCCTTTTCTCAGTCACAGGAGTCACTTGTGTGTAACGGCATCGGTATATATGAATCTGATCTGATTAGAAGTAAGTTTACTCACTGCTGTGTTACTATATCTTTCAGGAAAGAGAGAGGGCACACATATCATTACAATTTTTTAACTTTTTTTAGCTGGTGTGTGTCTTTCAGAAATCCAATTATTTGTAAGCTGCATGAGGAAAAAAAAAAAAACACTTCTTCCATCTCCAAGACAAACACACCTTTATCAGTTTCACAGCAGTGGTGGTGTAATTTCCTGGCCTCTGATCCTTCTGTTATCCCCTTGGACATCAGAACCTGCAAGAACCGTCGATGAGCATCAGTCATCTGAGCCATCGCAGTGTCCCACCAGGCTTCACGTGCTGCAGGAGGTGTAAGCTGGAATTAATGCACATGTTCATACAAATTAAGAATACACAGTCCAAGCATATGTAAGATTTCAATTAAACTCTCTTACATTGAACGAGAACAGATGGTCAAAAAAACAGATCCCCAGATCGTCCTCAGAATGCAGATGGTGCCCAGCTCTGAGGTTCCAGAAGGCTGCAAAAGATTAAGTCCAACTACTTTTAGCTACAGAATAGAACAAGGTAGGCATTGTGTTATTGTCACCAAAAAACAGGAATCAAGCTCCTTAACACCATGGTAGCACTAAGCAGCAGGCACTGCTTTGTTGCAGCGCTGGACGCACCGGGCAGTGACTCCTGCCTGAGGTGCACGCTTGGCTCAAGATGATACAATATTGAGTCTGTGTAGTCTCACAGGGTCTTCTAGCTGGGTCTTTGAGCCTCTGAACTTTGATCTTCTACAGATGGTGTTGTTTTCATCGAAGCTGCAGTTTGCTGGAACAAACTGAATTGGGCCAGTTTGACTAGTTACAAATGTGGTTACAGAGCTCCCAACGTTCCACTCACCGCTATCTCCTCGTCACCCGCTTACAAAACTCTCATACCCCCAAAGCTGAAAATAAATGTTGTGTGACAAACTCAACACCGTGTGCGGTTCCGTGTGGGATGTGTCGTGTGTGGGGTGCGGTTCCGTGTGGGATGTG